CTCATTATATTCTGACAAAATGCAACTGTTTTAACCAAAACACTATAGCTGTCTAATTCTCCACCACTTTGTGACTTAATCCTTGTTTCGATGTGTTGAGTCACATTTCATTTTTGTTAGAATTTTTCATGGATAAAAGTTGCAGCTAAAACAGTTTAATCTAGCTGCTAAAGGCCCCGTCACACTAGACAACTTATGCCAATTTATGAAACATTTTTATGTCTAAATTGCTAATAAAAGTTATATATTTGATCAATTTGTTAGAATTACATTATGTACACGCCAAAAAGAAGCTTCCTGTTGATTTTTTTCAATTCCAGCTTCAATGTAGACATCTTTAAAACGTTTGTAAGTTGGCATAAGTTGTCTAGTGTGACAGGGCCTTAACTTTTCTTTTGGCCTGAYTTTGTTCACAAATTGAAAGCGATTTTTTTTGCCTAACTAATAATATAAACATAACAGTTACTACATTAGTGCTGCTTACAGCAGGTTTTGTATCTTTAACACTTTATATTTTGCTTTATGCAGTTTACTTTTAACTTTTTGAACCAAAAATTGAGTCAAAGTTTTTGTCTCCATCAACCAAAATGGCTGCCATAAAAAAAGGATAACTAAGAAAACTTAGAGGAAAAGACCTTTGTATTTAATTCAGTCCACATCTTATTTTGACAAAAGGATCATAAATAAAATATTTTCAGCTGCAGCAATAAAAAAATATTTTTACATTACACCTTTTATACTTCCCAACAGACTAAATAATTCATAAAAATACTGTAAAAAGTACTGATGAAGAGCCAATAAATAAGAATAAAAACAAACCAACCCTTTGATTTTTGTCCTTCCTTCATGTTCAGTTAATTGTTTCCATCTGTAAACTATTGGTCTGTCCCTCCTGGGACTCTTCAGTGATTTGTAGTCTTGTTTAGTTCCTCGCTGACCCCATAACTCCCAGGTGTAAACACCCACTAAACCCTTCTCAGTGATTTCCACATGTCTAACATCCCCATAGGCTTACTTCTGTTTGTGTCCTGTGAACTTGCTCCTCCAGTAAAGCATCATGTAGTGTTGTCCAGGCAGAAACATATCTGTGTCGCAGGTCGTATCGGATCACATCTCCGCTGAACGCTCGGTTGTAGTAAAAGGCTCCGTTAAACACGACATGACCCGTTCCAGTGAAACTGTAGGGCAGCTTGTACGTATTACTCGCCTGACCTGGGCAGCAAAAACACACAGAAAACATGCTAAACTTCAGGAAGTTCTAAGTAAAATCCACTTAACTAAAGATCAAGCAAATGTAGGGAGTGGATGAAGATGAAATGTATTCAGTTTAAAAAGAAAACTTGCCCTTCAAGTTAAACGTTTTTGGGTTTAACTGCAGGTCAAAGTTTGACAACTAAACATGTAAAATACAGTATATGAATGGTGAACCAAAACTTTGCATACTTCAACCAAATGTGCAGCAAACTATTAACAGGATGAAATTTGGACAAACATTTTTATTCTGYGTTTTCACTTTTCTAAAAACTCTTAGTCATTTTCTGTTTAGCTATTTATACCACGAGTCATAATAGGTGCAATTACAGCAAAAAGTGTTCATTTTACAGACTGCCAAACCCAGTTTGTGCTGAAAATAAAGAATAATTGGTGGCGTACTAAATTTATGCATCTTAACGCAGTTCAAAGAGCTATTATATAATGAAAAGCTGCAGTCACTTTTGTTAGTTTTAACATATTAAAAAGATTTTAAACATGATTTATGTATAACTGGCAGCTCTGTTCGTGGTGAAAAAACATAGAGAACAAGCAGGACTTAACAGTGTTGAGATTAAAATAATTTATATCCCAGTATGTTTTCTGTTTTGGTCATGTTTTGGTCATGCAGTGAGGTTTCTATTAGATTATATTTGTCCCAGACTGCTCATCTGATGATGACGTAACTCAAACTAATGATGAAAATGAGAATGACTCAGTTGGTGTTAGGTCTTTTCTACTGGGTCGTACCTAATTTGAAGGTGTCCATATCTCGAAATTCTAGTAGCGTGCTGCCATAGTGACCATTGGTGAGGTAGATGACTTTGCCATGGCCGTGAGCATCTTTCATCCAGGCTCCATCACTGAGACCGTAGAAGTTCTGCTGGACCGGCTCGGAGATGCTGGCTACTGTGTCCTTACACACACCTGTGAGGGGACACACAACMGGTGACACTGTGGAGACTGGTCTGCAATGTGTGCATTCATCACCACAGAAACTGTTTTGTTATTGTGCTGCACAACTGAGATGATCCACTTTCCTTCCAGACGTTTGTCAGGACGTATCTCATTCTGCTGATTTCATCTTTTAAGCTTCTTTCAGTTGTTTGCTGCAATTTAACCTCCTTAGACCCAAAACTCTTGCAWTGCATGCATTTTTGTACACGTGGTGCCAGGTCCTAGGAGGTTAAGCTAATTTTAGCTATTTTCAGATAAATTTATCTGTTTTCAAATATGTTCACCTCTTTGTAATAATTTTAGCTTACCGTTTACTTCAGGAATGTTCTTTCCATTTCTATGTTCTTTTTTTCTTATGGATCCATTTCTATGTTCTAATGCTCTTTCAGCTACGTTTATGCTAATTTAAGCTTTTTTGGCAATTTTATAATAAAATGTAAAATTTTTTAACATCTTTTTTTTATCATTTTCAAATTCACACTACGTGTCCGCTGATAGAAGACTAAAACTTATGACACCTGTCTAGTATGAATTAGGTGTTTTCCATACAGTATATCTAAGAAAACACTTTGCTGGCTCAGAATTAGCTGCTCTATAGATGCTTATTAATGGAAATAATCTTAAAAGGCTTTAATACAGGGCTACTCAACTGGCGAGCGACCAAAGTTCGGCCCGCCAATTGGTTCACTAATCTCTTAAGCCCAAACCCCCGGTTTTCTACTTTGACTACTCTAAGTTATTTTAGTTAAACTAGACATGTTTGGTATCTACAGAAACATCAGAATCTTGGCTACAAGCTGGTAAAACCATTTCTATGAACATCCAAGACAGTTAAAACTACAAGCAGTTGAAGATAAAACTATGAAGGTGAAAATAAAATTGGTTTAAAATTTTGGCAAGTCAGAGGTCAAAATATTTTGTGATAAATAAGAGGCAAAATGTGTTTCTTTTTTGTTTTGTTTTATCATCACTACATTTATTAAATAGGGTTCTGTATGTTTTCATGATTAAATACAGCAAAATAAACTATTTCAAAGGTATCAGATCTTTGTAATACTTAGTTTATTTACATAACTTTAATTGCTGGATGTTCGGCCCCTGAGCTGTTGGTCTGCATTAACTGTGGCCCCCGGAGCAATTTAGTTGAATAGCCCTGCTTGTATATATACCTGCCTGTTTTGTTCTGTTTATAATCATAATAAAAGTCCCATGATGTGTCAATCACTCGATGGTATTAACCTTGTCTGAAGGCAGTCATAATGTTGTGGCTTCTGGCTGTGACTYTACCTGGTTTTTTGGTGGTCTTGGGTTGGTCAGCAGGGCTCTCTGTCCAGCTGAGTCGACTCTTAGGTTTTGGGAGAGATGGTGCAGTGGGAAGGGCATCCCTGGGAGGGCTGACGTTGGTGTCTGAAGGTGACGTGGGAGGAACGGTGACAGGCGAGGTTTGATGGGTCGTAGTTTTAAGTTTGGCCGTCACCTGAGCTGTAGAACTGATCTGATCTGTTGGTTTGATGGGAGGCGGCTTAGTGGTTGATTTTGCTTGACGGGTGGGTAAATGATCGTTCTGACGCTCTCGTTTGGGCTCCTGATCCACTTCTTTGATAGATGTTCTTGAAGGTCCAGAACTTTTGGTGACAAATGGCATCTTGACAAAACTCTGTGAGTCTTCTCCAGCATTTGTGGTTATAGAAGCTAAAAATTAAGAAATATGAGAGAAGAAATGAAAGCTATAAATGTTACAGTGTGACCTAAATGCTTCTTAAAGTGTATCTTACCCCCACCCTGTGAAAAGATAACTCCGCCCCAAGGCGAAATTTGAAAAATGCATSWAAGTGGGTAGGGGAGGGGGTGTGGGTAGGGGAGGGGGGGTTAGAGCGTGGAGGTGTGGCCAGGACGAGAGAACGTGACAGCTAGCATTAGCATAATTGATGCTACATGGAAAGTCACCACAGTATCGCAGAGAGTTACATCTCTGAATGTCTGAGGTGGAGGATTTTCACCCCACACCAGCCTCGGACAGAGGAGGAGGATCGCTGCGACAGCCTGACAGAAAAAAATAAAAGCATACAGCGGCTCACATGATCGCTAGTTTAAATCAGGAATAAAAGTCATTTATCTGT